TTAGGAAATGTTCTCTCTATCCCCACATTCATGGGTAATCTCATGCTAACTGTTAGCATGGTAAAATGAGGAAGCCATCTGTGGTGTGTATGTTGTTGTTGTTGTTGTTTTAGACATAGCTGACATACAGTGTTTATATTAGTTTCAGGTGTACAGCATAATGATTCTGTTTGTTGGTACCTGCTTTTTCACTGACTTCTGCTTAAAGCTGATGAAGCACAGAAAGGAAGACCTTTCCAAACAAGAAGATAAACTCATTTCTTTATTCAGCAAACACAACCAACTATATTCATTACTAAATTCTTTCCGGTACTGTATACTCATTGATATAAGCTAGAACAACCCCGTCCTGAATATTCTTTGATAAAATAGACACAGCATTATCATAAGGAAAAGAGAGCTGGTATTGGAATCCAGACCTACCTCTACCAATTCCTAGATTATCAAGTTCTGGGCAAAATATCTAAACTTTCCTCATTCATGGCCTCCCTGTACAAATGAAGGGTGTAGAAATGAGGCAGAGTAGCGATGTGATTAAGATCTCAGGCTTTGCAGGACAGGCCTGCATTCCAATCCAGTTCTATTCTGGGGCTTGTTAGTTGAGTACCCTTGGGCAAGTTACTTAAACTTCTTATATCTTAGTTTCCTTATCTATGAAAGAGGAATAACACTACCTCACCTCATGAAGTTGTTGCTACAAAAATTAAATAAAAGGATGTCAACAGTGCTTACTTAGTTCAGTAACTGGTTCTTAACAATATTCAGTAACTCTGGTTTTACAAAAGAAACGGTGCAATAACTTTTGGGATCATGAGGCATAAAGCTCTTCATTTTTTACTTGAGAAATGGAGACCCAGACATCAAGGAACTTGTCCAAGGTCACTGAACCCACATGCTTGTGATGCATATTTCCAAAGCTTTTATGAGTTCTGTGATGTGGTCAGAGTACTATCTCTTTGTGACCTAATCTCCTATTTACTAAATATATGGACTATTAAACTAGGTGATCAAGTTACCGTCCGTGTAAAATCACCAGTAATTACACTGCTGTTTGTTGAGGCCCTTCTGTGTTCAGGGCATGCTGCTGGAGAGCGTGGGTGTTATAATGGGCATATGAAAATCTGTCTCTGGTCTCAAAAGTGTTTACAGTTGAGTTGGAGAGACATTTATGAGACATGTAAACTACTGGGATAGCCACAAGTGTTCTAAGAGTTGGACATGGGCCGTGAACACACATTACAAGGTCCTACAGACAGTGAGCTCCATTTTGACCTGGCTGTCAATGGTGGCGTCACAGAAAAAATGGCACTTTTCCTCTATGTTAAGATTAAACTGGATTGGAATACACAGAGAGGAGAGGGAAGGACATCACGTTTCTTGCAAAGCCTGCATAAAAGTACAGAGGTAGAAAAGGGCACCGTTAAGTGCGGGGCATTCAGCGAAATGCACTCACTCAATCACTTCTTATTCTGACCTTGTCTTCTCAGTGTGTTCTATTTCTACAAATGGCAGTGGGTGTTTTCACAAGTGTGTGTGTGTGTGTGTGTGTGTGTGTACACACGTTAACACATGAGTCTTGAACTCCTGACTTTAAACATTAGCCAGGAAAGCACCGAGTGCTTCTGATTCCCCTTAGTTCAACACCAAGAAAAGCAGAGGTCATCTTTGAACTTGCTTGCTCTTGACTCTCACTCCAATCTATCAGCTCATTCTGGCTCTTCTACCTCCAGCGTATTTCTCAGATTCCTCCCCTTTCTCTTTCTTTCACCCATCCCAGTATCAGCCTTCATTACCCATTGTTGTACCAATGCTACAGGTGCCCCCATTCCATTCCTGTCCCCTGCGACACACTCTCCACATGGCAGTTTTCTAGCAATGCAAATCTTACCATGGAAGCCCCAGCTGAAAACCTTTCAGTGACCGCCAATTTTACTAAGCATATAATCCAAACTGCTTGCTTCAGCCTTCAAGGCTCTGCACGATGTGGCTTCCTTATTCTTCGGACTTCACATCATGCGACCCATCCCCTCCTTGGCTTGCTGTTCTTTGAACCAGCCAAGGTGCTTCCCAAATCAAGGTCTCTGTGCTTGCTCTGTCTGCCCTTCTCTTGAAACATTACTCCCCCACTTTGTGAAACCTGCTTACCTTTCACACTTCAGCTTAAATGTTACCTAGGTAGAGAGGCTTTCTTTGATCTAACTATGTAAACAAATCCCCTCTGCTATTCTCTCAGACTGCACCTTAGGAGTTTCCTTTTCTAGCACTTACCAATTTCTTTAGAAATACATAGCAAAATTTTCTCGTTGCTTAACTTTTTAAATGTCCGTTTTCCCTACCAGAACATAACCTCTATGATCAGGCCTGGTCTGCCTTGTTCATTTTTCAGCCTCCAGAATCTCCTACTGAAAATTTCAGAGATTAGTGAATGGATTTACAAAAGGAAATAAATGGAAAGCCATTATAGCAAGTAAGTCTCATAGAAGGCAGCTGCTTTAGTAGTGATAGCATTCACCCTGGAGTCTGTAAACAGGAGACTGCAGGTGTTTACAAAGCAGTTGCTGTATTTGGGGGGCAATTCTAAAAGAAATATACCATTATTGCAAGAGAATGACTATCACCTTTTATGAGGAGGGGACTCAGAGGTGCTTGGAAAGGCTGATGGGAGACTGGTCACTAACCGCTAAGCTCATTGGGTTTATATCTGGAAAGAAACAAATTTCTGTTTTCAGAAACTAACAAAATGGGGCGCCTGGGTGGCTCAGTGGGTTAAGCCTCTGCCTTCAGCTCAGGTCGTGATCTCAGGGTCCTGGAATCCAGCCCTGCATCAGGCTCTCTGCTCAGCGGGGAGCCTTCTTCCCCCTCTCTCTCTGCCTGCCTCTCTGCCTACTTGTGATCTCTCTCTGTCAAATAAATAAATAAAATCTTTAAAAAAATTACTAACATATTACTACATGGCGAGGGAATTTCTCTATATATTAAAGGACAAATGTTATGTTCTCTCCATCTAGTGACTGCTATCCTCTTGTTTAGTTGCTCTCTCTGAGGACAGAAGAAAAGAGCTCTCGCCTAGCTACTTTACATCACTTACCATTTACCTGGCCAACTGATGATTACAGGCATTCCCTTGATTTCAACTTCCCTTATTTCTCTTCCAGCTTTCCTCTTGTAATCAAAAGCCATTAAATACTTGCCCAGAAGTTTTACAATCTTACCCAAGGCTCTTGCCCAAGGTCAGTGAACCAATGTGTCTGTAATATATATTCCCAAAGCTTTTATTAGAGCTGTGATCTGGACAAAATACTATATCCTTGTGACCTAATCAATCAAGTTCAATAACAGTGACAACAGGATACAATATTCATTTACTGAGGGATTTTTTCAAATGTGCCTGGCATTACGCTAAACCTGTTACAGGCATCATCTCTTCTAATCCTGCTTGCATGGATTTAGTAATTATAATCTCCTTTTCACAGAGGAGGAAACTGAGGCCTAGTGAAGCTAAGAAACTAGCCCAAGTTCACACTATTATAAAGGAACTTGGGTTTCAAACTCAACTTTGAACCTGTAAAGTGCCAAAGCAGTATCAACATGCATCAGCTAATAAAGCAAATCAGAATCAAGCACATTTTTTAACATCAAGTGATGTATACAATTAGCTAAGCTTTTAAATATTTTATACAGGAATATTCTGCCATGTCCTTTTCTTAAAGGGTTGCACATAAGCATGTTTCTGGTTATCAACAGTTCAAGTGTATTAGGTTCCATTTCTGCTCTATAGAACTCATTTTGCTTTTCTGGCCTCTCGGCATCTATTTTCATGTTTCCTTATTTTATTTGATTGGTTGCTTTTCCCTTCTTACAAAAAATTGGGCAGCCATGCTTCTCTGTAACTTTAGTGGGTCAGTGCAACCTCTAATTCCTTCAGTCTCCTGCTCTACAAGAAAAGCTGTCAAAATACAGGAATTCTCAAATGTCTTGCATCATCTCACACAAACACAGGGATGAAGAGGGATATAATTCTCCTGAAGAAGCAGAGCAACTGGCAACAGCTGGCACAACTCTAAAGACCCCCTCTGACTCCATCTTGAAAGTCAGCCTCAAAATCAGAATTACCCCACCTATACCAGGACCATCTCACTAACTAGCCACACTTCATGACATTAACACCTGCTATCACCCGTTCAGCAAAGATAGGATCCTTACCCTTAATATTTTGTAAGGAAGACCAACAAAGTATCCTTTGTACCTCAGGACAACTGGGTATTAGTTAAGGTACAAGGCCCACAAAGACATGGCTCCCCTGTTCTTTGGTAACCCACACCTCATGATTATCCAACATGTTTCCAGTGTTTAGAATAGTTGTAAGAAAAGGTGACTGGACACAACAGCAAGAATCTGGAGATTTGTTTTGTATTGTTACTAACAACAGGCAAATCAGAACAGAGTTAACACACCTCCCCCCACCCCCAGTTACCCAGCATTCAAAGCTACAACTGGAACCACATTATAATTTTAGACCCCAAAGCAGTGTGATGACTTGATGCATAATTTTTAACACATGGCTTATTAATCCATTCTTCCTGTGCTTTGTTTCAAATACTGGAAACTATAAAAAGATCTGCGTGTCACTCCCCTGCCAAGGGAAAAAAAAGGAAAGAAAGAAAAGAAACGAAAAGCCTAACAAACACGGGAAAAAAAAGCAAGAGCAACTGGAAGCTGTTTTGAGGAAACACATGGGATTGAAGCATCCGACGCAACTCTGTAACCAACCATCACATGTGACTCCCCCCCTCCCCCGCCCCGCGCAATCCTGGTCGTCACCAGGCTGGGGAGAGGAGGCCGTGCTCGCAGGCGAGTGTGCGGCGGCTGGGGCCCTGCGGGGCGGAGGAGCTGACGCCACTCACGGAGCGGGGAGGGTCTTCCAGGAAGCCGCGGGTCGGGACCGGGCCGCGCCGCCTGGGCCGGCACGTAGCGCCCAGCGTGACTCAGCGCTGACTCACCGCGCTCGCTGCCAGTGGATTTCCCCGTCAGCGGCTCCCGCTTGCCTGTCCTCGCCGCCGCCTGCTCCGCGAGCCCTTTCCTGCACGCCAGGCCAGTCCCTGCGATTTCGGCAGAGCAGCGGGGCCGACTTTACCGCCTTTGAATCCCGACCAAAGCAGGGAAGTGACTGGCTTTGTTTTCTTTAAGAGCTCAATGGCCCACTAATCAAATTCTTTCATCAAAGGCCTGTTGGAGCAGATCCCTAACATCGTCCTTCCTCGGTGATTTAAAGATGACCTCCGCTCAGAGTTTGCTCCTGTCGTCCTAGGCCTGCATCTTATTTTTATACCACATTTTCTTGGGTTATCTTTTCAATATGTTTGGTAGCTAGTCTTGGCACAAACCCACAAGGGCAGTGACGCAAATCAGGTTGGAACTTGGCATGATGTGTGAGCTTGAGTGACTTTACTGTAAAAACCAGGGAACGCTTCATAAAGACGTTACTATGGGCCATCTCAGTTGCTGATTAGATGCCCTGCTCAGTTTCAGTCTGTCACTACCATCTCTGCAAGGTACCAGGACAGACTGTTAAAAATGCAGACTCTTGAGCAGTCATACTTATTCTTCCTCTCCAGGATTCCACAAGGAAAGCAACAGTACGGCACGATTTCTCCAACTGCAGCTCTTGGACCATGGCATGGAGTGTGGCTGGGGGGGATGTGGTCACAGTGCAGGTTCTTAGACCCCTGCTCCAAACTACAGACTGGAAACCATTTGTTTGTTTGGGGGTTTTTTGGAAAGATTTTTATTCATTTATTTGTGAAAAAGTGAGAGAGAGAGTAAGTGTGAGCACAAGCAGGGGGAATGGCAGGCAGAGGGAGAAGCAGGCTCCAAGCAGGCTCTGCACTGAGCAAGGAGCCTGATGGAGGACGGGATCCCAGGACCCTGGGATCATGACCTGAGCCTAAGGCAGATGCTTAAGCAACTGAGCCACCCAGGTGTCCCTGGAAATCGATCTCATCAGAGATGCCTATGTACGCTGAAGTTCAAAAACTACTAGCCAGAGGATGATGGTGTGAGACATTATCCTGTGAAGATGCTAGGAAACATTCTCTCAGTGGAGAACACCTTGTTCTAAAGTTGATTTTGAAGTTCTGATACTAGGCAACCCGATTTCTAAAACTGGTTTTACATACAATTTTGCTTAATTGTATATTAATATAGATACATTCTTTTTCTTTTTAATTAGACATTTGGCTATGCAATGAAATGTAGTACCTACAGAGTAAATTTTATTACAGACCTGTTATTTCCTAAACCTGACTTTGCATCAATCAGAATTAGCTACAGAGCCCTTTAACACTAATTCCTGGACCACACCTCATGCCTAAAGAAACATCATCTCTGAAGATGAGACCTAAGAACAGGCAATTTGAAAAACTGAAAGTTAGGTCTCTGGACCTTAGCAAATGACCACTCTTCCCAAGTACAGGAGAAACTTCATTAATTTCATGATAATTGACTTGTATTATTCTTTTATGGTGCCCACTCAGCTCTGCCTGCACTGTTTCCTTCTGAAATCACAACTGAAAAAATAAAATGAAAAGTGACTACATAAGACACCAACTTAGTATTATACTGCTAAATGTATGTCTTTAGAAACCAAACTTGAAACCTTTATATTCTATTTTTTTGTTTGTTTGTTTTTGGACGGGAGCTGTTGGGAGATTGGAGAATAATCTAGGAATCTATTTTGAAAATTTCCCTATACTTCTTTCCTGGGATATTTTACTTGTTTACCATTTTCTTTTCATCTCATTGGTAAGTTTCCCCCACTTTATCCCTGTTAGCATTGTGGCAGAAAACCTAGATGTGACACATATCTGACAAGAGACCTCTCCTTGCTGACTCTTCTCCAAGTATGGTCTTTGAACCAGAAGCATGGACATCACCTGGAAACTTCTAAGAAATGCAGACTCCCGGGCTCCACCAGAACTACCATATTAGAATCAACAATTTAGCAAGATCTCCAGGTGATTTTGTGTATATAAAATAATATTGGAACTACTGGTTTGTAGTAATGGTAACAATCTGAGGCTGATGGAATTAAAAAAAGAGGAAACAGGAAGTGGGCGTGAGTTAGTTTCCTGGGGCTGCCAGAGCAGAGGTCCACAAACTAGATGTCTTACAACAGAAATTTTCTTCCACAAGTTTTGGAGGCTAGTAGTCCACCAAAATCAAAATAGATAGAACCATTTGTTCTATCAATGGTACTGGTTAAGACAAAATTCTACCACGATATTACCATAAAAGCCCTTAAAATTTAAAAAAATATATATATAGCTTAAACTATAAGCACAATGAGAGGCAAACTGATAATATCTTGGGATCAGGGTAAGAAAATGAAGGGAATCCTTAAAACATCAGGAAGATTTAAGAACAGGACCAGCGAGGCAGCTCCAAGATAGTAATGTCTTTTTAAAAACTCTTGACTGTAGCAGACATGGGTTTCTGTTAGCTCAGGATCGGTTCTCCCTCTTTCCTCTAAAGAAAACTCTCATCATCCTCACTAGCATTTTAGTGCAGGACATCAACAAGTTTCCCTTCCCCCTTCCTCCCAAGGGTGAAACACATGACTCTTTAATTTCTGTCCTGCACATCTAAATCTGGGTGAGTCCCAAAAATGCAGAGTGGCTGAACTAGTCATTTCAGTCGTCATGCTGGAAGACACTAACCAGATGTGTCAGTCTGTCCACTGAGAATACCACAGCAACCCTAGCTGCTGTCCTCCCCAAGTCCCACTTGTTTAACTTCTTTTGTTCTCAGAGCTACCCAGTGACTTTCCAAATGGTTTTCATTAGTTTCAAAGTCTAACATTTTTAATGTTTATTTTTAACTTACTATTTTAAACTATTTCTTATTATTTATTATAATTTAGTGTTAGTTATTTTAATGGAGCCAAGAGTTTGCCCCAGTTGGTTTCTATTGCTTATAACAAAGGAGCCTGACTGTTAGGAAATTATTGATGGGGAGAACACATATTGCCCACAGCCACCCCACTAAAACTTAAAAAACTTTAATCTGCATCCATGACAAACAGGACTCTTGAAATATAGCAAAGGCCTTTTCAGTTTGTTTTTTCAATTGATTTTACCAGCTATTATTGCCCTATACTTCAAGCTGAGTCATTCTTCCCTTCTGAGCCACCCAAACTGCCAGGGGGCGCACAAGAGAGAATCACTTTTGTTATGCTGCTTGTGGACACCAATAATCATCTTTATGTTGCCTCCAATTCCTCATTGTGGTTTTCATGATATTTGCAATATTAAGGAGACTAAAGGAAAGTACTCCGAAGTTTCTCTTTAGAGCTATTTTACCAGGGGGCTAATTGACAAAAAGAAAGTCCCTATGATGCCACACTAAGTGTGATTTTTTCTTTTCAAGCAAAGATTAGCCTAAAGCCTTCATCCTGGCCAACATGAAAATGTTGTCTTTTGAACTCCACTGATAAAATTTAATGTGATCAAGGTATATCAGCTTCTCAAAATCCATATTCCCTATTCTCCTCAATATCCCTTCACATTAATTTCCTTAATTTTATCTTCTGCCAGTGGTTGCATGGTGGATATGGTTTCATTTGGCTAGAGCAGGAAGCATATAAGGAAGAGTAAACCCAAAAAAGTGGTTGTTTTGAAATTATAGTGAATCATGAATGTCATAGTGAGGACTTTCTACTTAAATTCCTTTTTTTTTTTTTTTTAGATTTACTTATTTCAGAGAGACAGAGAGAGAAAGAGCAGGCCCACCCAAGTAGACTCCTGACTGAGCGTCAAGCCAGAAGGGGAGCTCCATCCCGTAACCATCAGATCATGACCTGAGCCTAAATCAAGAGTCAAACCCTTAACCTAATGAGACACCCAGGTGCCCCTTAAATGTAATTCTTTAATTTTTTTTTTAAGATTTATTTATTTGAGGGAGAGAGAGCTTGCCCAGGTGAGAACGGGGAGAGGGTTGCAGGAAGGAGCAGAGGGAGAGGCAGATAAAGTCTTAAGTAGACTCCATGCTGAGCACGACCCTTACTGGGGACTCAGTCTCACAACCCTGAGATCAGAACCTGAGCCAAAACCAAGAGTCCGACACTCAACCAACTGCACTGCCCCGGTGCCCCTCTTGAATGTTTCTGATCGAGATAAAGAAGTGACACTTATCAACTGCTTATTACATACCTGGAACTATATTATCCATTAATAGGTGGAGATTTAGCCTTCTGAAATGCACCTAAGACTTTAAGTAAAATATTTAAGCCTCAGGAGATTTTTTTTTTTTTTAAATAGGGGACTTTTTTAAAGGTTTTATTTATTTATTTGACAGAGACACAGTGAGAGAAGGAACACAAGCAGGGGGAGTGGGAGACAGAGAAGCAGGCTTCCCACCGATCAGGGAGCCCGATGTGGGGCTCAATCCCGGGACCTCTCAACAACTGAGCCACCCAGGTGCCCCAGATATTTTTTTTAATCAGTGACAGAGAATATGAATATCTACTTTGTTAAAAGAGGATATATGCTCCCTGTCATTCTCCTCACTTTCTTTCTCTTTGTATCTGTCAAATTCTGTCATCTGAGTATTACCCTTTTAACCTTACTGGGATTGGTAATATTCGTATATATCTCAACTGTTCTGGGGTTTGTCTACAGGTTTAACACTGAAATAAAAAAAATAAACAACTGGTATTACTAAGACTATATGAATACTCTTCATGGCAGAATGTAGTATAGTCATGATTACATGTCTTTTTTCTATACTCTGTTTTTCATAAAGTTTTTAATTGTCTTTTTTTTTCATTATCTCCCATAATTTCTTCCAAAATTCTCATACTACCTGGTCATGAAGACTTCTTTTTCTAGATCTCCAGTCCCTGCTACCCCTCCAGCCTCTGAACCAACTGCACTCCAGGCCTGTGGAGCAGCTATCACTGAGACTGCCTGCACTGCAATACTAGGTGAGAGACTGTTTCTCAATCTCCTTGTCCCTAACATATTCCCTCATGCTCCAGCATCTTTTAAAGACTGAATACCTGGGAAATAAATGCACTAATTCTTACATTCCTGGAAATGTTTTTATTCTGCTTTTACATTTATTTGATATTTAAGCTGGGTATAGAATTCTTGGTTGAAAATCACTTTCTTTCAAAAGATC